ATTTAAATATAATCACTTAAAGCTTATTGTAATTGCAGTCAGAATATCATAGTGTTTTTCTCCACTCAGATTTATACTTTAATTATATTTAGGCAGACCTAACAAGCCACTGATGGAATCAATTTAGCAAAAATGGCCTAGATTCTCAAATCATATACTAAATCTAATGAATTAAAACTTAAGGTTAGGTTTGAGATTTTTTCGTCTCCACACAGCAGTCCATTTGGCTATTTGGCTAACGTCTGAGAGGATGAGGCAGCCGTGCAAGTGTGGTGAGTGTGGGCAGTGATGGTGGCTTGTTCTGCTGTGGCTCTATCCATACAGTTGTTGTTAAATGCCACTGAGGCGGTTCCGACTCACAGCAACCCTGTGTAGGGTTTCCAAAGAGCAGCTGGTGAGCTTCAAACAGAAATATTTTATGACAAATGAACCTTCTCCATTGTAGGGTCAGGGTTCCACTGGACACTGCTTAGACTGAAGCACAGCCAAACTTAGGACGCAGGGCACAGATCACGTGGGCTGCATGTTCTGCCAGGAGGCCTACTTCACCATCCAAAACGCCTCGTAGTTGTCCGAACTTGCAAGGGGAATTTTGTTGACTTTGCGAAGTACCCAGTAGGTTCCAAGGGTCATTTAGGAATACTGTCACACAGCCATTTGGGTAGACATGGGTTTAGTGTTTTATTTCACTTAAATGCACCCTCTGAAGGGAACATTCATTATTCACTGCCTTTGTTTTACTTGTATGTTCAAAATCAGTAAGATTCCTTATATTGGGAAAGCTCTTATTTCCAAAAATACCATTTAAAAAAATTCTACTACTACTTAAAATTCTTTTGATACCCTCTAAATATATTTTGCCTGCAAGTCAGCTAGAAGAATTAAGAACTATGTATGATCTATATCATATGCTATATATCTGAGTCTTGTCATGAATACTTAAAGCAAAAACCACTTCAGTTAATTGTAAAACTTCAATAAATCCAAAGATTATCTCTCAATATTGATTATCAACCAGAGACTAATTAATCAACAAATTGAGAAAAGAAACAAATCTGAAAAACAGTATAAAGGAATGTTTCTTAAATGTTAAACAATTCCTTAGTAAGTCACACTGACCCATCGTTATTTTAAATGCGATCACTTTCTCAACTCCAAGCAACAAGATGTGACCAGTGACTGGGAAGTCCCTGAGAGGAGGTGACTCTGAAACCTCAATAAGCAGCTGTTTCAATGAGACAGTGGCAGACGGCACAGCAGAAATGTGACTGAAGACAGAGATGGTGACAGGTTACACACATCAGAAGCAGCAGACATAAAAAGTGACAACACAGGCAGTGAGAGGCACAGGAAATGCAACAAGAAGCAATGTGAGACTGTGGAGGAAGGACAATACTTGCTTGCATAATAGGTACAACAATCAGTCATGTGTTTAATAAAAAGGAAAAACAAGTAAGCATGTACTATGACAAAAGGGAAATTATTAATGCCAGTGAATGCTGTAAAAATCATTTTATCAGGAAGACGAGCACAATAAATAGTATTAGGACACTGGTATCCCTGCCCCAACATGGCAGTGAACCTAACTGTCCTGGGTATCCAGGAACGTGGCCATAAGTGAACAGGTGTGGGTTTGACGGACACAATGACTCAGTTCATCGAGGCTGTGCTGTTTACCGGTAGCCAGAGCAATTGCTTCCAAAACCTCAGCACATGGAGCTGACACAGCTAGTTCTTTCTTAGGTTGGTTCCTTGTACTGTGATAAATACTCTCATTTAAGGGTCAGCAGCCTCTTCTCAGCCAAAGATGCCATCTGTGGCCCTTAGGATGCCCAAGGCCAGAGGAAGATAAAAGACAAAGAGCGCGATAATATTATCTTTAAGAGAGAGGAGGAAATGGAAGGAGAAGCCAAGGATGGAGAAGAAAGGTGGACAGGGAGAGAAGGAAAGAAATTCTTTGTGTGCTGAGTAAAGTCTGTTGTTGTTAAGTGCAACCGAGTTGGTCCCAATTCATAGTAACCCTGCGCAGGGTTTCCAGGAAGCAGCTCGTCAGTGTGAACTACTGACTTTATGGTTCAAACTGACAGGGATTTTAAAAGTTTTATGTAAAATATAAATAAATAAATAAGTAAATAAGTAAGTAAGTAAGTAAATAAATAAATAAATAAATGGCAGTGGAATTTTTCCATGAACTTTTTGAAGTCCACTTCACATAACCATCCACTAATTATCTGTCAGTCTGTCGTACTGCGGTGACTCGCATGTTACCGTGATGCTGGAAGCTAGGCCGCCAGTATTTGAAATACCAGCAGGGTTACCCATGGTGGACAGGATTCTGCAGCGCGTCCAGACTAAGAGGGACCAGGACAAAGAAGAGGCAGACTATTTCTGAATGTTTAGTTACTGAAAACCTTACGGATTGTTGTTAAGTTTCCTTTTCAAATGTTTCCCTCTTGATTCAACCTTTAAAACATTTTGTTGGAATTCTGCAGGGCTTGATCTAAAGCGAGCTCTTCTTACCTTTTCTAGGTAACCTCACTGACTCCCACTGGCTTCACAGATCATTTATGCCAAGGACTCTGAGTCTTAGACCTCCAGCTCCATATAGTCACCTGTTTGCTGGACAGCTCTACTTGGCTGTTTTACACACCTCTAAATGTACTCCTCTTTGACCCAAAATAATCTGAGTGACCGTATCAGTCTCTGCTGGGCTTTCACATCAGAAACCAGGAGGTCAGCTGTGAAATCTGCTTGGTCAGCAAGCCCTCCAACACTCTATCTTACCAGTCAACTTCACTCTAAATATTCCTGAAGTTAACTACTTTTCTTCTTTTTGATTTTGAATCTGCTTTCCACACAGCAGGCAAGAAGAAATCTTCTATCATTTTTTAATAGACTTTATTTTTAAGAAGTTTGAAGCTTAGAGAAAAATTGTGCAAAACTACAAAGAGTAAGAGGGTTCTTTTACAAATCCAAATCTGACCAAGATGCTTTCTGCGGATCTGAACAAAAATTCTCAAATCTTTGCATGGCCTTCCCCAACTGGCCCCTCTTAGGTCTCGAGGCTCGTTTTGTCCCATTCTCCCTCTTGCTTTCCACACCACAGCACACAGTGTCAGCTGTGTTCCTTCTTGGTTCAGGCCTTCACACATATGAGTACTCTAGTTTTCCCTGCCAGGTGCCCCCACTCCTGACTAGATCTCTCCCCCACTTTCTCCCCAGCTTGGCTACTCCATTCATCCTACTGAGAAGCCAGGTTTGAGTATCTTTTGTTGTACGCACCACAATAATACATTCATTATTTCTGTAATGTCTGTGCTTGGAGCTCTCACCCCCCACCTCCTCACCAAACTGCAAAATCCATGAGGACAGCAGACCTTTCTTTGTCCACCTTATTCATGTTATATTACATCTGTGAGATCCAGCACACTGCCTAGCACACATTATGTAAGTAATATATACGTGTTTATTTACTGAATGCGTGAAAGTTCATTCCAACCTTGTTGTTACTGTTAAGTGCTGTCGAATCTGTTGTGACCCATAGTCACCCTGCATAGGGTTTCCGAGGAGTGACTGTTGAGTTTGAACTGCCAATCTTGCAGTTCAAACTGACCTTGTGGTCGAGTGCTTTACTCCAACATACTGATAGAATACAACTGGTGTTTCCAGATTCTTTTCAAATAACAGTGTGTGCGGGGGAACAACAATGAAGTATTATTCAATTCAACTATAGTTTTTGTGTGGGGTGTATGTGCATGTAGAGGCGGTGTGCCCTAAGAACTGTTTAACTCCTAGCAGTAAGTGTCACCTTGTAGTTGATTCTACTCACATAATACAATCCTTATAAATAAGTGTGCTGATGACTGGGGACAGGCTTGCAGGTATATCCTTTCTTTGGTTGATGATGCATGGAGAGGGTAGTAACCATGGCAATGAAATGATATACAATAGGATGACTGTAAAGCTAATGTTCTCCCATGTGAACTATCACATAATTCACTATAAAACATTAAAAAAAAAAGTGTGAAGATAGTACCAAAGACCCTGAAGGGGAAGGAATTAATGAAGATTCTGTTTTCTCTTGCTTAGGCCTGGCCATTCCCTAAACTATTCCTTTTTGTTCCTACTACAGTTACAAATTCACCTGTCCTTTTAAGAAGGGGGAAAAAAACAAAACAAAAATAGCACGTTTAAGGAAAACAAAGAACAAATTTTCTAGTAAAGGCTTTCATTAAATAAATATTCTTTAGGTACAGAGTCACATTACAGAAGTCTGCTTGGATCACAAATTCTACTAATTTTCTTAATGAACGAAGCATGGGAACAACGGAAACAACTAAAGCCGAGACTGAGCAGTCCATGCACTTTACAAGGCTCAGTGTCTGCTTGCAACAGGCTTCACTAACGTCAGCAACTAATCTAATTGCTCCTTCAAGTTGTTTGGACTCATTCTTATTTCTGGTTAGGGTTAGGTACAAAATGAAGAAAACCTGTTTTAAAAATAAATTTCTAATTTACCCAGAGCACTATCTATGTGGAATGGATAGAAATACTATCTATAGATGATAATAAAGAACTAGAATGATACGATGTCACTTTTTGCCACAGTGGGAAGAATTAATGCTACATGCTTGACAAAGTCTACTTCTGTTCCTTCCATGACTGAAAAAGCCGATGGTGAAATGGAGGCTTCCGGGCAGCAGAACTACGGACAACAGTGGTTTGTACATACTTACTGTCGTCCTGGTGTGGCGCTGTGGGTTAATGCGCCAGACTGCAAAGACATTTGAACTGTAAAGTCAGCGGTTCAAACTCACCAGCTGCTCCTTGGAAACCCTACACAGGGTCGCTATGGGTCGCAATTGACTCGATGGCACTCAACAACAACAACAGTGTAAGTATATACTTCCTGTATACACTTCTGATTTTAACGTCCTCATTTGCCAGGTACTGATGCTACTGTTGTAATTATGTGTCACCATCTTCTTTACCCACTTTACCTTCACAGGGATGTCCTCTTCCTGGCTTGCTTGCTCTGAGGTGAAGACATATGAGATCTCTTTGTGAGACGTAGTCTGCCGGCAGATGGCACATTTAATGGAGCTTCTGTGAGACCCCACGCTGTACTGCTCAATAATAATAGAGGTGCATTCGTTACAGAAACAGTGCCCACACGTCAGCACGGCCCACTGGAAAAGACAACGAGAGAACAAGACTTAGCGAAATGCCATCAAGCTGTTAACATGGTAAGAAGGGGAGGATCATATTCCTTCCTAATTCTGACATGACATGAACATTCTGCGAATCATAAAAGCCAAGTTGCATTTGAATTTCTGTTTTTAGAGTCCACACAGAGTTAAGTGCTCATTGTCGTTCATTCTGCTCCCTCAACCCTAACATGAGCATACCTGTCAGTAACCTGTAGTTTATATGAAGTTGGTGTTCTCAGTACAGTATTCGAGGAAAATGCAAATGATTTCTCCAGGTTTCTGATAGCAGATAAGCATTTCAAGTCCTCTTCACTTTCAGCAAGCAAGATTGTGTCATCTGCATGTTGCTAATGATTCTTCCTCCAATCCCAATGTCACGCTCTTCTTAATATAATCTAGCATCTCAGATTATTTGTTCAGCATACAGACTGAATAAGTATGGTGGAAGAACACAGTCCTGATGCACACGTTTCCTGATTTTAAACCATTCAGTATTGCCTAGTTCTGTTCGAACTACTGCCTCTTGGTCTATGTACAGGTTTCTCATGAGCACAATCAAGTGTTTTGGAATACTGATTCTTCACAATGTTATCCATAGCTTCTCATGATCCACTCAGCTCAAAGTCTTTGCATAGTCAATAAGGCACAAGTAAAGTTCTTTATGGTACTGTCTGCTCTCAGCCAAGATCCATGAGGTCAGCAATGATATCCCTGCTCCACATTCTCTTCGGAATCTGGCAGCTCCCTGTTGACGTACTGCTGCAGCTGTTTTTGAATTCTCTTCAGCAAAATTGTACTTGCACGTGTTACTAATGATACTGTTCAATGATTTCAGCATTCTGTTGGATCACCTCTTGGGAATGGGTACAGATAGGAATCCACGCAGTCATTGTCCAAGTAGTTGTCTTGGGAGAGGTGAGTGCCCCCAGTGCTGCATTAGTTTGTTGAACGATTTCAGTTAGGATTCTGTTGATTCCTGGACATTTGCTTTTTGTCAATGCCTTCAGGGCAGCTTGAACTTCTTGCTTCAGTTACACTGGTTCTTGATCGTATGCTGTCTCTTAAAGTGGCTGAACATTGGCCATTTATTTCTGGTAGTGACTCTGTGTGTACCTTCCATCTTGTTTTGATGCTTTCTGCATCCTGCTATGAATCGGGATCAACTTAATGACAATGAGTCTCATTTCTATAAACGATGTCATCTTCTGCACAGTATTTAACTCTTCTTCATGTGGTAAAACAAATAATAATAAAAACTCAGCACTGCTGTGAGTTATGAGGGTTTTAACCCTCAGCTGTATTTTTCCAGGATTTGCACATCCTTGGACTTATATGGAAAAATGGTTTGTGGCTGAACTCACCTGAAGAATTCTCGGAAGCCCTTGGGAATATATACACACATAAAGGTAAGGGAGGCTTGAAGAATATGAACTTGATCTCAAAAGGAGGAGTTATGCTGTATTTTACTGCAATACTGTTTAGATTGTTCCCTGGGAGCAACTCTGCTCCCAAGCCAGAGACCCCAGTAGTGGAGGGTGTAACAAATTTCAAGCACTATCATACTAGCATTTTTGTAGAACACAAAGCAATATTACTTTATACTTTATGTGAAGGTCACTTCCTCTACTTAAGAAGACTTTTGTGGCTCAGAGGAGCTCAGGTGGACAAATCGAACAAGACAGGTTCACGCACATTTGCAACAGAGAAGACACACTTGCATTAAAGCATAAGTGACAGGAAGTTGACTGAAGCAGTACAAACAGCAGAACAAACAGATGTTAATGCCTTCAGGGACATTAGCCAATCTATATGAGTGGACTTCCAAAGTTCATGGAAGAGTCCACTGTCTTTTCATTTCATTTTTTCATGAACTTTTTGAAGCTCCCTCATATATGACACCACAAAGAGATCCCCTATATTAAGAGGAAGGTAAGAAGATAAAAGAGAAAGAATCTAGAGCATCTATTGCGTTATGTGTGTACAGCTCAAAAAGACCTATTGTGATTCTTACTGTAATCTAACATGATCTCCTAAGCACAGAAGAATTAAACTTTCTGCTCTGGTAAAGATTAACAGCCTCGGAACCCTATGCATGGCACCCTATCCATGGCACACAACGGCCACCACCAAAGAAAGTCCTCTGAAATCTTGTCTTCTCTGGAAATCTTGAAATGTACCAGGCAAATTTCCCCTGATTATCATTAACCAGAATATGCAGCTCATACATGGAACTGTCTCTCAATTATATATGAAAACAGTGAAAATGAAATGTTATTAGTTTCATAGCTAATAAATGCTTAGCCTTCAAAATTTTAAGAAAATTAAACATTTTATTATGATATGTATTTAAGGAGCCCTAATGGAGTAAGAGTAAAGAGCTCAACTGCCAACTGAAAGGTTTGAATCCACAAAGCACTTCTGCAGAAGAAAGTCCTGACAGTCTTGTAAGGATTGTTGTTGTTGTTGTTGTTAGGTGCCATCAAATCGGTATCGACCCATAGCAACCTTATGCACAGCAGAACGAAACACTGCCTGATCCTGGGCCAACCTCACTACTGTTGCCATGCCTGTGCCCACTGATGCTGCCACTTGGCCAATCCATCTCGTTGGGGTCTTTCTCTTTTT